GGCTGGGGGTGCGGCCAGGTTCCCCAAGGGCCTGTGGGGGGGGTGGCCACTGAGGGGCTCAGCTCTCTCCCAGCAGCTCCAGAGGGGGCTTTCATCATGTCCGGGGCCTGTGTTGCCACCCTCCAAGCCATAGCCAAGCACAGGCACCTGACGTGGGCCCACCCATCAGGGCTGTGGCTCCAGGAGGCGATGGGTATACCTTGCTGTGGGTTGCAGACGTGCGCTGAACGGGCCCGGAGGTTCTGTACAGATTTGCAGCCGCTCTCCACCCCACCCTAGTTCCCTTCCGTTCCCTTCCGTCTTTCCTTGAAAACATTTGCGATGATAAGAAGCAGCCTCTTCCTCACTTGCCCTTCCAGATGTCACAAGTTGGAGGGAGGGCGGTGGGAGGAACGTAACCTCTGCCACATCTCTGACCGCCTCCCTGACTGAGCCGGGCAGCAAGACCTCTAACGCAGGAGACGGAGCCCCCTCCTCAGCGAATGCCAGCGACCCTAAGGAGCCCTCTCTTCGCCCGACTCAGCCTCTCCGCAAAGGGGCTTCGCAGTTCATGGCCAACGTCTACCAGCCGCCGATGTACCATGACATGCTACCAGCTTTTGTGAGTCCGGCGTTACCCCCACCCCACTCCACAATGTTAATAGAACTGGGTGGGTACTGTGGGGCATGAATTTCATCCAGGTGGAGTTTACAAACCTCCATTCATCCTCTCATTCAACAAATGTATGCCCTGCTTTCTGTGCCGTTTTTGAGCAAAAGTTTCCAATGTGCCTTAAGGCGCCCGCTAAGCCTGGCAGTGCAGATGGTAAATCTCCTGCCTGTCAGCTGTCAAGACCCCGAGTCGCCACAACTCGTGGCGGTGAGTTCCCTAAGTTGTGTGAAGAAAGAACTGTCATTCCTCTCCAGCCTCCCAGTAGTCCGTTTGGTTGGATGAACTGGCACTGAGGTGCCCTCTTTCTGCCATTTTTGGTTGTTTGTAAGAGCCATGTTTATTTATTAGTCCTTTATGTAAGCTGCCCTGAGCCTGCTCCGGTGTGGAGGGCGGGATATAAATTAGATATATAAATAAATAAATATTTACTTAAGAACATTTATTATCTGCCTTTCTGCCTTACGGAGCTCGAGGCACTTTACAACGTAGATAAAAATGCATAAAATGGAACACATTAAAAGCATGCAACCTCAAATTTTAAATTCCACTCCAGTTAGTCAAATGCAGGTCTAAATAAAACCATCTCCAGCTGCTTCCTAAAGATCGACAATGGGGGGGGGGGCAGGCTCACCTTGCTAGAGGGGTTTCCCCACAATCGTGGGGCTGCCACTGGAAAGGCCCTGTCTCGCGTGCCCACCAAACAAGCTTCTTTGATTGATGGGGCAGTCAGGAGGGCCTCTCCCTTGATCGTAATTCCCAGGCTGGAATGTATGGGAGAAGACAGTCCTTCAGAGACCCTGGTCCAGTGTTCCCTCTAAGCTGTGGAGTCTAGTGAGCAAAGATTCTACTTTGTGAGCTACTGGCATTAAAGCTGTGAGCCGATCGATTTGGCTACTGCATAAATGAGTTTGCTCTGGAGCCCTCCTTCCTGAGCGAAGACAAAAATGTGTGAGCCGGAGGCTAAAAAACTGTGAGCTAGCTCACACTAACTCAGCTTAGAGGGAACACTGCCCTGGTCCCAAGCTATGTAGGGCTTTAATTGTTGTGGAGACCAAGAGGGAAGCTGTAGCACTAAGGCGTTTGCACCCTGGTTCTCTTTTTCAGATGTGTTCAAACCAGCCCTCCGAGACCCCTGGGCCCTTGGATCGTGGGTCCTTCCCCCTCCCGCCGTTCCGCCTGGAACCCCGTGTCCCTTTTAGACAGCACCAGACCAGCGACCAAGACGGGTAAGGCTGTCGTGACGGAGTGCCGTAAAGCGAGACTGCCGTTTTTGTTACACTGGATACAGAAAAGAAATGAGGGCAGCCCAAACACTGCAGGAGGAAACGTACCCACAGAAGCAAAACACCAAAAACCCATTCTGTAAAAGAGCGTGCCCAGAATATCCTTACAGAGCTGCTCAAGATGGCTCTGTTCGAATACAGTTACGCAGATTGGCTTCTCGTTCTTTCCTGGCGGTGGAGATGAGGGAGTCACAGCGCAGGGGCAGAAGCCACACTTTGCACGGTCTAGGTCAGGGGCGGCCAGACTTGCTTAACGTAAGAGCCGCATAGAATAAACGTCAGATGTTTGAGAGCCGCAAGACATGAACAAGATAGCACACGTGTTTTTATAGAAAAACATGCACATTTGCTTTTTATTAACATTAAATGATAATGGTATTTATGTGTTTGCTAATGATATTCACTGGTCCGAGAGAGAGAGAGAGAGATGGAAAGAAAATGAAGGAGGTGAAAAGAAAGAGAAAGAGAAAGAGAGAGAAACAAAGAAAGCAAATCAATGGGGGGGAGGGGGAAGGGAAAAAGAGAGAGAGAGAGTGAGAAAGAAAGAGAAAGAAAGAAAGAAAGAAAGAAAGAAAGAAAGAAAGAAAGAAAGAAAGAAAGAAAGAAAGAAAGAAAACAGATGGGGGAGGAAGGAAGAGGGAAGGAGAGAGAGAGAGAGAGAAACAAAGAAAGCAAATCTCAGGGGGGGAGGGGGGAGGGAAAGAAAGAAAACAGATGGGGGAGGAAGGAAGAGGGAAGGAGAGAGAGAGAGAAACAAAGAAAGCAAATCAATGGGGGGGAGGGGGAAGGGAGAAAGAGAAAGAAAGAAAGAAAGAGAAAGAAAGAAAGAAAGAAAGAAAGAAAGAAAGAAAGAAAGAAAGAAAGAAAGAAAGAAAACAGATGGGGGAGGAAGGAAGAGGGAAGGAGAGAGAGAGAGAGAGAAACAAAGAAAGCAAATCAATGGGGGGGAGGGGGAAGGGAGAAAGAGAAAGAAAGAAAGAAAGAAAGAAAGAAAGAAAGAAAGAAAGAAAGAAAGAAAGAAAGAAAGAAAGAAAGAAAGAAAGAAAACAGATGGGGGAGGAAGGAAGAGGGAAGGAGAGAGAGAGAGAGAGAAACAAAGAAAGCAAATTTCAGCCGCCCTGCCAGGAGCCACACAATATGTGCAAAAGAGCCTCATGCGGCTCCCGAGCCACAGTTTGGCCCTGTAACATCTGTGGGGTTAGATGTTGCTCGCTAAAGGCGGCATGCAGTCCCCGCGGAGGATTGCCTCGCTTTTGCTGCTCCTGTCGGGAGGATCCGAGGCCCTCCCAGGTGACCTGCACTGGCCAGGAGAAGCGTCTCAACATCCGACTGCCGTTTCTAAGAGAGCTTCTTCCCCCGAGGTCACAGCAGGGGGGGCATTTTGGTCTGTGTGACCCACTGCGGAGTCTGTGTTTCCAGCAACATCTTTCTGTCTTGTCCCACAGAAAAGAGAACAGACCCGGGCCGTCGCGCCCGGCTCGCCCAGTCCGGCCGCAAGGGGAGCGGGCCCCCCGGCCTACCATCATCAACGCCGAGAACCTGAAAGGGCTGGACGCGCTTGACACCGACGCCGACGACGGTTGGGCAGGTAAAATGCTCTGCGGGTCAGCCAAGGCAGGGCCTGATCAAGGTGGGGCGGTCTTTGAAAGAGGGGTGTCTCCCAGGAGGACTAGTCACTTTATGACCGGGTGAACGTCTTCCGTCCCCTCGACACCGGGCTTTCCTCCATGAGAAGACCAGCAACGTTGGATGAGCGCCTGTCAGAGAAGCTCTCCCATCAGAACGTTAGGTTCAGGTGGGCGGCCGCGTTGGTCTGAAGCAGTAGAACAAAGTTTGAGTCCAGTGGCACCTTTAAGACCAACAAAAGCTTAATTCTGGGCAGAGGTCATTTCGGGGGGGATCGCAGTTCCCCCGGGTGAGGTACGGGGGGCGGGGCACATGACGAAGCCCCGCCCCCTGCTTCCGGCCGCCCCGCTTCCGGCCCTCATTCAGCCAGGAGGAGGCAGGAGAAGAGGGAGGGTAAGTTGCTTCCTCCCTGCCTCTCCCCACCCCTGTCTGCCTGGGGCCAGGGAGGGCCTTCGCGGGGCTTCCTTGCACTCCCGCCGGCCTTGCAGGTCCACCGCCGGGCCCCTCATGGGGCTTGGAAGTGGAGCTGCAAGGCCGGAGGTGGCGGCCGGGACCGTTGGGGGCGGGGTGTGTGGCCTTATGACACACTTCCGGTGATGTCAGGGGGTGTGGCCTTATGACACACTTCCGGTGATGTCGGGGTGTGTGGCATATGCTAATGAGTTATGCTAATGAGTCCCCCTAGCTCTTTTTCTACGAAACGACCCCTGATTCTGGGTATGAGCTTTTGTGTGCAGGCACACGGAAGCTTATAGCCAGAAATAAACTTTGTTGGTCCTAAAGGTGCCACTGGACTCACACATGCCGGTCACAGCTGCTGGCGAATCGCCTGGTCCTACAATGCCAAGACCATGGCCATACAACCCGGAAAATCTACCAAGAGTTAAAAATTTCAGTGTGTTCATAAATCTGGGCTTTGTCTCGTTTAGCTAGATTTGAGTCCAGTAGTGCCTTAGTGACCAACAGGATCTCCCAGGGATGAGCGTGTGCCTTGTGCCGGCGGTTGGACTAGATGACCCCGGAGGGTCCCTTCCAGCTCTATGATTCTATGTCCTTTCAAGAAAAATCCTGTTGCTCTCTTAAGTTGCTACTGGGCTCACGTCTAGCTACTGCAGACCAGCCCGGCTCCCCTCTGAAATCCTAGTTTGGTGTCAGACCGGTTCGTTAGATCATCTGCACTGAGATATCTGGGTTTTGTCGAGCCACAGTTTATGTCACAAGATTGCAAAGGCTGCTCACTGCAGTCGCTTCCAAGCTGCGTTCACTCCGGCCGTGTTTATAGGTCTCCCCTCCATGGAAACTAAACAACAGCTGTACGAAGGGGCAGTTACTTGTCCTTCACGTCAGTGCATAGGAGGAATTCCCTTGACAAGCAAGGAGGGTTTGTGTGCATCCGGGAGCGGTGGCGCAGGCAGTAGAACGCCTGCTTAACAACTAAGAGCAGCCACTACGGCTGTTCGAATACCACCGTGGCCGGAGTGAGCTCCCGGTCTTCATCCCAGCTCCCGCCAACCCAGCGGGTCGAAAGCTAATTAACATCTAACGCAAGTAGACGAATGGGTACCTGCCCTTAGATGGGTAGGGGGCACCCACCTCTGACAAAAGAGGCATGGTGGTGGTGCGGATGGCGTGGCGGTACAGAGAGCAACAAGCGACGGCGGCGAGTGCTGGCGGAGCTGAGGGCAGTGTGGAGCGGAGTAGAGCAGAGCGATCCCTGGTGGCCGGAGAGAACATCGAGCGACATCGGGCGGCAACGGCAGCATCCTGGAGGCGCACGACGAATGACGCAGGCACGGCGGTGCCTGAAGGACGAAGCCGGCCGGGAGCATGCAGGAAGCCGTGCGCCTGTGTGGAGCTGCCGAGTTGCCGGAGAGAAATGTCGGAGCCAGAGGAGACGCTGAGCCAGCGGCTGAGATCAAAAAGACGCCGAGCCAAGCCGAGCCGTGCCAGGGAAGCAGGAAGAAGCACAGATACCACCGAGGGTGCTGGTAGGAAGTCCCACCCCCAACTCTAGATGTGGCCCAAGATAGGAAAAAGCAGTTCTTAGAACGACCAAATATGTGAACCACCCAGAGACCCCTTCGGGGGTTAGGGCGGTATATCAAATCTAAGGTATAAATAAATAAATTAAATAAAATAAATCTATATCGTGGACATCCCCTCCTCCAACGCCACTCCGCTCTGATCTCCAGGTTCTCACGTGCTGCAGTGGGATTGATTCTGCTGTGCATGAGATGTTCCGCTGAAACCCCAGCTGATGCAGAAGGTCATAGGGCTTAAACAGGTCGGGCAGGGGACACACTGAGATCTAAAAAGAGCGAAAGAGGTTGCTTCAGGTGCAGTGTCTCTTGCTTTGGGATATGCATTCACCCAGAGAGCGCCATCAATCCACATAAGAAACAGGTTGGAAAACTGTCCAGAGAGTTGCTGCAGAAGTCGTAATTTTCACAGAGACAAAAAGTGATGAGAACCCCTGCAGAGGGTCGTAAAAGGAAAACGCCCTTAGATGAAAACGGCCAGTTTGGGAACAGTTTTCTTAAACTGGCCTTCGCAGTGCCCCCATGCCGTTTTTGAATGGCTTCCTCCCGAGCTAACAGCCCCCTTCCGTATCCGTTTCTCTTTTCTGCTTCCTTCTCCATGGTTGCTGTGGCAGGCATCCACGATGAAGTGGACTATTCTGAGAAACTGAAGTTCAGTGAAGACGAGGAGGAGGAAGAAACCCACAAGGACGGAAGGCAGAAGTGGTAAGAGGAATGAGTCTGTTGCCCGGGCCGCGGGGGGTGGGTGGGTGGGAAGAACCCACATCTACCCAGCGATGCAAGCGGCACAGGACACGTTTGTGGGTAGAGTAACTACATGCCCAGGGGAAGCAGGGAGAAGCATTCTGGTCCCCGCAAATGACTGGATGTGTTGGCGCTGCATCCGCCTGCGTACGTCTGTTGCGTGGGGGCACAGCCCCTTCATCCCACCCCACCCCGTCAGGCGGTTTTGTTCCCTGTTACAGGGACAGAGCCTACAGATGTATGCCCCGTAAGGCCCTGCTGTCCGTTTCTTATGAAGGCATATAGGAGGAGGCAGGGCCGGAGGCTTCCGTTCCCTCTCCCCTTCCCTGCTTGCTGGCCCTGCCTACCCACGCACTGTGTACACTGAACCCACACAAGTTGGTTCTGTGGCCGAGCCTCTGGGCCTTGCATTCAGCCGTGGCGGGGCAGCTGGGGAAGGACCCAGGCATGAGAACAGGCCTCCTTAAGAACATAAGAGAACATAAGAGAAGCCACTGCTGGATCAGGCCAGTGGCCCATCCCGTCCAACACTCTGTGTCACACAGTGGCCAAAAATACCAGGGGCCATCAGGAGGTCCAGCAGTGAGGCCAGGACACTAGGAGCCCTCCCACTGTCCCCCCCCCCAAGCACCAAGAATACAGAGCATCACTCGCCCCAGACAGAGAGTTCCTCTCTGTACCTTGTGGCTAACAGCCACTGATGGACCTCTGCTCCATATGCTTATCTAATTCTCTTTTGAAGCCGTCCATGCTTGTAGCTGCCACCACATAAGACCATAAGAGAAGCCAATGTTGGATCAGGCCAATGGCCCATCCAGTCCGACACTCTGTCACACAGTGGCCAAAAATACCAGGGGCCATCAGGAGGTCCACCAGTGGGGCCAGGACACTAGGAGCCCTCCCACTGTTGCCCTCCCCAAGCACCAAGAATACAGAAGCAGTCCTTGCCCCAGACCGAGAGTTCCTATCTATACCTTGTGGCTAATAGCCGCGGCTGGACTTCTGCTCCGTAATACCTGTGGGCTCAGAGCGATTTACAGTTACTCATGACATTTGGACTAACAATACTCATGGGGATAGGGAAGACAACATACCGTATTTTTAATTACAC